CCTGTATATATATATTTTAAAGTAATAGAATATTTGTAAATAAAGGTTTTTATCGTGTCCAAAGCCAAATACTGGGAAAGCACTCTTCTTTGTAATATGGAACTAACAAAGAGTGAGAAATTTATGTTGGAAAGGATTTCATGAGTAGATAGGTGAGACAATTTGGTAGGCTTGTACTAATAGGTCTGCTTTGAGCCTCAACTTCACAGGCCCAGAAGCTTATAATGGCCAAGCTATGATATAAAATAATATTGGTCATAAAGGCATTTGCTAATTATGTCATATTAATAAATGTAGCCTGTAAATAGTTTGTAAGGCCTTTTTTTCCTGCCTTATTTTCTTTTGCCTTAATTTTAAAGTTATTTTTTTAACTGAATAAACCATCAGACCATTTTTTCTTCTGTCTTGGAATAGCAATTCTTTCCATGCAATTAAATGGGGTATAGTGCTCCATATTGCTCTATGCCATTTTTTAAAACCAGTCTTTGTTCAAGTTTTTAAAATCGAGTTAATTTATCTCTTGCTTCTCCCAATCCAGCCATGCCCTTTGCAGTACAGTACAAGGTCAACCACAAATTGTGATTTATAAACCGGTATATTAAGAGTATGTAATGTGTAGACCAGAATTTTTTGGTTATACTTGTCTTCTCAGGCATCGACACCTACTAGTGTGAGGGTCTACTCCAGGCCTATAGTGCAGCAGTTCTCAACCTGTGGGTCGCGACCCCTTTGGGGGTCGAACGACCCTTTCACAGGGGTCGCCTAAGACCATCGGAAAACACATATAATTACATACTGTTTTTGTGATTAATCACTATGCTTTAATTATGTTCAATTTGTAACAATGAAAATACATCCTGCATGTCAGATATTTACATTACGATTCATAACAGTAGCAAATTACAGTTACGAAGTAGCAACGAAAATAATTTTATGGTTGGGGGTCACCACAACATGAGGAACTGTATTAAAGGGTCACGGCATTAGGAAGGTTGAGAACCACCGGACTCTACTCCATTCCTATAGTGACACCTGAATGCACCTGGTGTCAGACTCTTGGTTTCTCTCCTTCTTCTTTTGCTGGGCTCCATGGGAGCAGGAAGTCACCAAAAGAGCAGGTAGCTGCATAGACACTGCTGAGAATGGAAGGGACTGGGTCTGTTTTCAATTTGCATTGTGCTTTCTGCTTTTTAATTCATTCATTCATTCACTCATTTTTGAACCTTTCCTATGCTTCTCACACGAAATTATTTGTGAATACAAAGAAAGAGGGAGAGATTAGTGGCATAATGAAGAAAGACCTTTTAAGGCCAAATGATTGGATATGGTTGGATAGATGTAGGCGATCAGGGAGAAGTTTTAAACATAATTCCAAAGTTCAGGTCTGGGAGAATCTTGGTCCCACTAACAAAGAGATTAAAGGGGGCACACTGTCTTTGAAGGAAAGGGTACATTTAATGTTTCATTTGACTGAACTGCTCAAATGGAAGGATTTTTAAATAGGATATCATTGAAGGGCACTGACAGTAGTAACTTAGTGGGTAGAATGTAGAATGATTAATACCTGTGCAAGGACTGAAGGCAGTATAATAAAATGAAATAAACATTGCTAAGGGAGTCACTTAAAACAGTCAGGAGGCAATTAAAGAAGTGAGGCCCACCTTGTGCCCCAGTTCTCAGAGCAGCTATTAAGTTGTTAAACCTGTTGCTAAACTCAGCTCAAGGCCCAGCCATAAACATCTTGGAATAAAGCTGATACCTGGACATATAAGGACCTTCCTATCCTTCCTTGTAGTTTTCACCGCCTCATTTGCATACTGGAACCAACCAATCCTGTTAAACTAGCCAACAATTCATTTGCATGGAAGAATTACATTTTGTGGGTTTTGCCTTCATAAACCCTGCCTGCCTTTGTTCTCTCCAGAGTGCAGTTGGGTTGCTACCTAAATCTGCCTTGTTTGGATTTGAATCCTTTAAGACCCCAAATAAACCTTTGTTTTACAGCCTCAAATCTTTATTAACAATGGCATTTCAAAAACTAAACTGTGAAGGTGGAAGTAAAACTTGAGTTAAGCATCTAGAAATATACTCTGAATGAAAAGGGGGGCTATGCAATAACCCTGACAAGCCGGGGTGTGGTGGGGAGTGGTTGTTTGTGGTGGTGATGGTAAGGGTGGCACACGGCAGGCCTGGCAAGCCCAGTTACCAAAAGTAACCCCACAGGATAGTCTGATCACAAATGCCTAACTGGGCATCCCAGGTCTTTGGCAGAGGCCAATCTTTAAGTGAGCTCTGCCCATTGTTCTTATGCATCTAGTATAACCTACTACTACTGTTATCGGGGAAGGACATATAATAAGAATAGAACCACAGCTGTCTAATAATTGTCCACTTTATTAATGATAGATGAGAAGTTTTCTTACCCTGGAAACTGGAGGATGAAACAGGCCTGTAAAAGATAAGATACCTCGGAGCCCAAATGGGTCCATTACTCAAACAAGAAACACATTTTGAGAACAGACCAAGCACAAGACACACTTTGATTTGGGTGCTGCACCTGGACCCTGACCCCCTCTGGGAGTTTTTCTCAGGAACACTGACCATTCTCCCGTCCCAGGAAGGGGCTGAGCTGTTTGTAACATCATAGAAGACTAGCCACCTTGTTGTGACTGAGCTTCTGAAGGCCAGACTGCAGACCCTCTCCTCCCCCGACTCCTTTCCCTGTTACACTTGTAGCTCGCAGCTGCATGTAGCTATCTTCTCCCTCGTGTGTATATAACCAGCCAACTGGCAAGGGGGGTGGGGGTGGTCAGAGCAGATTTGTGTGGGTGACAGACTGCTCTCCCACACTGCCGGCATTATTGGAATGAATGCTCACATATGATTCAACCCTGTCTCCACTTAATTGGCACAAGTGGTCACAGGCAGCCGGACCCCTTGGTTGTCCAGTTACAGTACCTTTGAAATGTCAGAGTAATTTCCTTTTGCTATGCCTGGAAGACACAACCCTCAGCACCAGAGCACAAGACCACCAGAGTGTGAGGTCACAGAACCCCTTGTTGTTATCTTGTCTCTGAATACCATCTCGATGTGCTGTAAATGTTATTAACTATCCTTTACCCACCAATGTAAAAGAAGCACAGGGTGTCCCAAAACAGTGTATACACACTTTAACAACTGATAGCTCAATTTTGAAAATAAAATGTATTTTAATAAACACTGCCTTTATAATCATCCAAAATTTGCTCAGCACGATTATTTTTTTCATTCATTGTGTGTGCATACATTTTGGGGAGACACTCTATATGTTTCTCCATTTTGCCTTTTATCCAATCCTAGAGGTTTCCTGCCACCAAGTGCTTTCTACCAGCTCCTGAACCTACCATCAATGGATTTCATGCACCTTTCTTAAGGCTTCTCCTTTGATTCTAATATATAAAATAAGCTGCAAAACTTCCATTCTATGGAGCATTTGCGATCTTGCTCCCTGGTATATGTCGTCAGTTTGGCTCAATGAGCTTGTAAAAATTCTCCACAGGTTTGGACTGCCTACACTGACAATGACAATTAGTAAGTCTACTTTTAGAGTGGGTTAACGTGTGTGTTGGAAACCATGTTAAGCCATTCATAATTTTTCCTTCAAGGGCAAGAGTAGGCATTGAAAGGTTTTAGGCTGAGTCCTGAGGAAAGTTGCGTGTTGGAACGATGTGGAGGGTACCTTCCTTTCTAGAGGCAGGTACCAAGGCACAATAAGGGGGAGACCCTTTC